GGGCAGCCTAGCTGAATGGCCCAGGGGCTGTGAGCTCCATGGACGCCTCTCCTCCTGGCGCTGCTGTCCCTCTGCATAGGTGAAGACTCAGGGGGCTGACTCCTGCTCCTGTCTCTGTGCTGGCCTCACCATCTCCGTGTCCCCCCTTTGAGGATCCCGGGCCCAGTCTGAGCTGATGCAGCCGTCCTCGGCATACGGGGCCCTGGGCCAGAGCGTGGTCATCTCCTGCACTGGCAGCGGCCCCAACATCGGAGCTGGTTACATCGTGCAGTGGTACCGACAGTCCCCAAACTCCTGAAACAAGAGAGTAACAAGCGGCCCCCAGGCGTCCCTGATTGGTTCTCGGGCGCTGTGTCTGGCACCTCGGGCTCGCTGGCCATGGCAGGGCTCCAGCCCTAGGACAAGGCTGAGTACCTCTGCCAGTCACAAAACAGCAAGTGGGGCCAGACACGGGGCTCCGGGCCTGTGGGGAAGCGAGGCAAGAACCCACAGATGGGCCTCCTGCACGCCTCCCAGCACAGCTGCTCAGGCTTGTTTGGTCAGGAGTTGCGGGCGTTTTGTTGGTCAGCGGGTGCTGATGCCAGGGCTCTCCCAAGGGTGAAGCAAGCCCATGCGGGGTGGGACATCAGCTGCATCGGCTTCAGGAGCGCGCCAAGCACAAATTCAGGGTGCAGGACCGGAATCGGGGTCAGTGCATGCTTGGAGGCTGATGGCGCATACCCTAAGACCACCACAGACCACGAGGTTCAGCCGAGGGCCACTCTTGGCCGCGGCTGCGTAGTCAGTCGGGAGCCCAGTCAGGAGTGGGGATCGGATCCTCCGGGACCCTGCAGGGTTTCTCCACCACGCATGACCCCTCAGGCCCTTCTCTGGGGCTCACCGGGCTCTCACCCACTGCTGGCGGAGGCCCCGGTGGCTCAGGGAGGCTCCCGCACACCCTCTTTCTCCGAGTCAGTTCTCTCCATGCCTATCGCAAACACAGTCACATGGGGTCAGACTCACACGAAGGACACTGAGGGGTCATTCATCCGGAGCAGGGGCTGAGGCTGCAGGGGGCAGAGCCCCCTGTTTTGGGGCAGCGGACTCCCAATAGGGCATGCCCACACTCTCACTGAACACCCACTTGTCCCGGACTTCAAAAGCATAATGGATTAAAAAGTAACTTGGGGGCCCTCCCTGGTGGCGCAGCGGGTTAAAGCACAGCACTGTGAGGCTGTCCACAGCCACTGCAGCATGAGTCCATTTCCCACCAGGGAGTGACCCACATGGCTCAGCAGACCCCTCTGTCTCCCGGCTGCCCCCCTCAGCAGTGGACTTCAGTAGATCCGCCTGGTCTGCTCCCTGCTCTGTCTCTGGTGAACCCTCTCAACGCCCTTGTACTTCTGGCCTGTACTCCAGTTCTGTATGCATAAAGAATAACTCTTTAAAAATAAATGAAAAAAATCAAACAACTACAAAGACAAGAGAAAACTGACTTCTTGACTGACAGAATGCAAAAGTTGGGCCTCCTGGTGGCACAGGGGTTAAAGACAGCACTGTCAGGGCAATGCAGCCACTGCAGCACGAGTTCCATCCCCGCCGGGGAGCTACATGGCGGGGATGGAAGACCTCTCCTGGCTCCCCAGTGCTCCCCTCAGCAGTGTGTTTCAGCAGATCTGCCTGGTCTGTGTCTGGGGAGTCCTCTCACCCCCACCTCTGACCTGTACCCCAGCTCTTATAAAAAAGAAAGAAAAATGCAAAAGTTGAAGAGAATGGAACACAATTTTTTTTAAAGATTTATTTATTTATTCATATGGAACTGGGGTACAGGCCAGAGATGCGGAGGGTGAGAGGATTCACCAGAGACAGAGTGGGGAGCAGAACAGGCAGATCGACGAAGTACACTGCTGAGGGGAGCAGCGGGCGGGTCAGGAAAGGTCTGCCACGCCTGCGGGGCAGGCGGGGAGGGCCCTGGAACACAATTTTAAAGTGAAAAAGAAAAAAAACACTACCAACCTAGAAGTGTATCCTCAGTGTCTCCTTCACAGGGTCCGTGGAGGATTAAGTTCTGGTTTGAATATTTCATGTCAGCCCGACCAGCTGCCATGTTCCTCTGGTCTGGAAGCGGATACTCCAGTTTTTTCCTTTCCTACTTCTCCCTGAGTCCTGTTTCTTTCCTTATTCCCATTCCCAGGACATAAACATCAAGGCAGGAAATTTGAAGAGAATTGTTTTCTATTGGAAACTGAATTGAAAAACAGGAGTTTTCAAGTACTAGACAAGCTTCACAGACACGGCTTCTGAATGTCTGTGTAGTGTGTGATCGCCGCAGACACTGTCCATCGTGAGGACTGAGTCGGTGAGGACCGGGCCACACTGGCCGCTTCAGGTGAGAATCACGGGCAGAGTGGGGTGCTCAGGACTCTGGTAAAGACCCCAGGATGCTGGATTCAGGGAAGGAAGGTTCTTCTTCCGCCAGCAGGGGGCGGCGGAGACCGTCCCTGGGAGATGCACAGGGCTTCCAGCTGGGTGCCCTGCACTGGCAGGAGCCAGGGCTGGACCTTGGCCCCAGTGGGCACTCAGCAGCCCTGTTCCAGGATCCAGGATCCAGGTGCTCCTCTGCCAAGGTCTGTGGTGGGCCAGGCAGGCGCTTCCTCCCAGGCCACCTGAGGGCACCAGTGTATCAGGCCCTTGCCCTGCCCATAGCGCAGTTGCTGCTGTGCAGGGGGACAGTGCTGGGTGTACATGCATGGGCAGCGCCTCCCTCTGCGCCAGCAGGAGGGGATAGGAGAATTATGGGCAGCCCGTTCCAGCCTGCAGGGAAGCAAGGGGCTGTGAGCACCATGGCCTGGACGCCTCCCCTCCTCACGCTACTGTCCCTCTGCACAGGTGGGCACAGGCTCAGAGGTCTGACCAGTCCCACTGACCCCACAACCACCTCAGACTGACCCTCACTTGTCGTGTCTGTGCGCAGGTTCCCTCTCGCAGCCGGTGCTGACCCAGCCGCCTTCACTCTCCGCGGCTCCTGGGCAACAGCCAGACTCACCTGCGCCCTGAGCAGTGGACTCAGCGTTGGGGATTTCTGGATACACTGGTACCAGCAGCAGCCAGGGAGCCCTCCCCGGTACCTCCTGCACTACCACTGAGAGTCGGGGTCCCCAGCCGCTTCTCTGGGGCCAGTGATGCCTCGGCCAACGCAGGGGTCCTGGTCATCTCGGGGCCGCAGCCCGAGGATGAGGCTGACTACTACGTGCCACATATCATGGAAAATCCAACTCTCCACAGTGCTCCGGCCCCAGGCGGAAGTGAGACAAAAAGCCCCTGCTCAGCCCTGCTCACAGGGCTCCCTGCACCCACAGGGGCTCACCTTGCACAGATAGGGCCTCATGTGCTCCCCTCAGCCCAGCAGGGCCCTCAGGGTCCGGGTGCCCAGGCACGGAATTTCTCCCAACGTCAGCAGACCCTCACCTGGGAAGATGTGCAGATGTGGTTAAGTGGAAAGGTGTTTAACCCTGTAAGTTGCTTGAAGATGCACCTGTAGGGCTGTCCCTGGAGGCGCAGCGGGTTGGAGCGCTGCCCTGGGAAGCTAAGCCAAGCCCTGGCCGCTTCAGCGAGTTCGATCCTGGCTGGAGGTGACCCCCAGGGCACAGCAGGCCTCTCCTGGCCCGCCCGCTGCTCCCCTCAGCAGTGTGCTTCGTGGATCTGCCTGTTCTGCTCCCCACTCTGTCTCCGGTGAATCCTCTCACCGCCTCTGCACTTCTGGCCTGTCCCCCAGTTCTGAGTGCATTAATAAAGGATAAAAAACTCCAAAAGATGTAGCCCACTGTTACTGACTATCGCATCCCCAGAACAAAGCCCAATGACTGGCACAGGCACTCTCCAAATACACAATTTGTTGAAGAGCAGATGGTGACCCATTAATTCAACCTTGTCAGAACCTTGTCAGAAATTCTGTAGGCCAGTATTATAATTAAAGCTATTCACTTTCCCCAAAAAATTTAGAATCACAACTTCAAAGTAAAAATGCTATTAATTTTCTGGAGGCCATGAAAATAACTACCCTTACTACACAGGACATTTATTTTAGTATTTTGTTTCACTTTTCTTAAATTATCATTCACAAAATCAATTAGACTCATCAGTAGATAAGTGGCTTGAAAAAGCACTGGCTTAAAAGCCACAAAATGTTAACAAGACCACAGTTCAAAACGCAGCTATTCCTCACAGAGATAATGTCACATTTTCTAGCAACTGTAGATTTGTGTTCTTGTCTTTCCTTTCTGCTCAGCCTCCTTTGCCTTGGTCATGGACCAAGCCACTGCCCTCCAATCACACAGCACACTGGCCTTTTTTTTTAAAAAAACAGACACACTCTCGTCTTTCACCCATTCTTTCTGGATGTGGGAGTGACGATCAGAGAACAGTCATGTTGTAGGCAGCAGCTGGACTAACCAGTCACAGATGCAGGAATGAATCATTGTCCTCGGGAAGCCTGTTGGTACCCACGCTGGCAGCGTCCGAAAGGAAGACTGGTTTCTCTACGGGGACGTCCGCCTGGCCACCAGAGACTCTCTTCCCAGAGCTGTTGTCCATTTGTCCCTCTGCCTGGGATTTCACCGTGAGGTTCAGTAGCCTCATGTCTCTGCCCTGGAAGCAGGATTACAACACTGGGCCTGCAATTTTCCACTCTCTTGCAAACTGTCTCCAGAAAGGGGGAGCGAGGAATGTGAGCATACATAAGATTTTTTGGCGGGCCCTCCCTCGTGGCACGAGGGGTTAAAGTGCAGCACTGGAAGCTCACAGCAGCCACTGCAGCACAGTTCGATCCCTGGCCAGGACGCTGACCCCCATGGCGCAGCAGACCTCGCCTGACCCACCTGCTGCTCCCTTCAGCAGTGTATTTCAGTAGATCCCTCCATTCTGCTCCCCACTCTGTCTCTGGTGAATCCTCTCACCCCTGCACCTTTGGCCTGCACCCCAGTTCTTGTATGCATAAATAAATAAATATTTAAGAACCTCCTCCCCCGAGAGAAAACAAGTGATTTGTTTGGGATTAGAAATTCACTCACCAGTCACTGGTGCTGAGCCCACTGGTTGCTCAGCTGTGCAGTCAGCACTTGGGGTGGGCGAAAGGAGGACCCCTGCTCTTAGCTTTAGCTGAGAGGGTGAGAGTCCTAAAGTTGCCATGCATCCACACCAAGGGAACTTAAATAGAAGGAATACGGCATGAGTCCCGCCGAATGGATGTGCAGTTCTTGGGTTTTGGCGAGGGGGTTGTTCTTAGGGCCTGAGAAAGAATTGAGCAGAGTTTCCCTCCATTCAGTGGCACATAGCAAGTTTATTAGGGAAAGAAGATGCTTGTGTGGACACAAATAGGCAGAAATTTAAGAGGGCAAGTCTTGGCCAGAGCATGGGATGTCTTTATATGTTGTTCTTTGATGGGATTTATTCCTTTACCAATTTGGGGTTAGATTGGGTTGGTTTTCTGTAATGACTGACTATCCCTTCTGTCCCCACCTAGGCTTTTTTTTTTACCTTGTGAAAATTCCATCCTAAATTTTCTACTCAATGTCAGGCTGACTTCTCTAGCGTGGATGGAGCAATTCTTCCATGCTCACCTTTCTCCTTTGACAGCTACCCCGGAAGGTTGCCACTGTTATCCCCCATCTTAACAACACAGACATGGAGGCTTAGACAGGTATTCCACAGAAGTTATTTGCTTTGTTTTTTCACCACTGAAGTTCTGGTACTTTTCACCACTATCAAATGGACCTCCTTACCCATTCTTCACATCCCACCCTCTCTTTCCCCACACCCTCTGGTACCACCATTTTGTTGTCAGAGTCTAAGAGTTGGTTTGTGAGCAGAAGTTTTTTGTGGGCCACATTCCCCCAGTGAGCAGGCACATGAGAGCATTGATACGAGCACACCCTAGTTGATTGCCTCAGAGGCCCTCCCAGAGCAACCTTCAATAGTGGGGTATGATCTGGTTGTTTGTATAATGCTGAATATATGTATATTTTAAGTGGGCTGATCTAGAAAGGAAATCCCAGGCCACGATGGTTAGCCAGGATATCAGACGTATGATGGAAATGATGGTCATCATCTTGGCTATTTAATTATTACTGTATACTCCCTGTTTCCCCCGCGAAGGGTCTTCCTGGTGGCCTAGGGAACAAATCTCAGTGCTATCACTGCTTTGGCCTGAGTTCAATCCCTGGCCAGGGAGCTGACCCACATGGTGCAGCAGACCTCTCCTGTTTCACCTGCTGCTCCCCTCAGCAGTGTATTTTGGTTGATCTGCCTGTTCTGCTCCCCACTGTCTCTGATGAATCCTTTCACCTCCACGCACCTTTGGCTTATACTCCAGTTCTTCTATGCAAATAAATAAATAAATACAAACTATACTGAGAAAAATGAATTCTGTTTCACCAACGAGTTATTGGAAGCTTCAGTTAATTATTGCCACACATTCAATTTATTATCATAATCCAGTAATTAACTTTAAACACATGAATCTAATACTAGAGAGTTAACAAAAGGCAAAGTGTCAGGACTCCATTGCAAGCTATGAGGGATAATGAGGGATCATCTTAGGTGAGTTTGTTTCTTTGAAGCTTTAGTCCCCTAATCTGTAAAGAGGAGATAATAATGCAAACTATGTAACATTCATCCATTCATTCAACAGATAATCATTGATTTTTCCCTCTGAATCAGGCATTCTTGTTTCAAAAATTAGAGCGACAGACAAGGCTCTCCTATTGTGGAACTTATACTCTGGTGGGGAAGCACGAAAACGTCTGAGAAAAATGACAGAACTACACTTGCAAAGAAAGAACTCCACAGTGTAAGACACCAAAAGACAGTTAATCCTTAGGTAAAGTACTTGTCCTGCATTTAAAAAGAAGAAACGGGCCCACGATGGAATCAGTTATGCAAGACCCACCAAGACTTACTATCCCACCAAGTGCGGGTTCAGCCTGTCCCAAAAGTGGAATTCTAAACCGGCCCCCCTGGGCTCCCCGTTTCCCCGTGAAGTGGTCCACCCTTAGGCACTCTTGCCCCCTTGAGGGAGGGTGGCTTTGCCTGAAGTCATCTTTTTTTCTTTTGGTAATGACTCCTTCTGACTATGAAAACCTTCCTATCGGCCTCCTGAGCCCTCCACTTGTGCACGTCCTTTTAGATGGAGCTGACTGACAGGACATGTAGGCAGCGACAGTGGCCCCCTTAGGAATCTTTTCTTTACTTATTTAAATTATTCTTTTTACATCATCCTTCATTTTGTGCATTTTTCCATCTCAGTTGTAATCCCTGTGGGCTCCCCACTTCACCCGTGGGCCGTTGCCATAGTCCGTGCGCTCTTCCCACCGCAGTTCCGATTCCATCCCCTTCTCCCACTTAGGAATGTTAATAAATCCCATTAGATCTCAACAGGTATTTGGATGAATTTTGTTTTTAACACTGTGTCTCTAATTTCCAAGAAAAGAATTATAGGAACTAGTTCTCCTGTAGGGCCTGAAGAGCTAATCCTGCCTAGAATTCTGACTGCTCCTAACGAACAAATCTAATGAAAACGAAACACACATTAGGGGGAAAGAATGCCCTGAACAAACTCCACAAATAATGTTCTATGGGCCGTATGTCCACTCTAGACCCAAGAGATCCAGGACACCAAAGACTGCAAATCCCATCATCACGAAGGGAAGATGTTGGACCTGAGGGTGGAGTTAAGAAGCCGCGTTTGGTATAAAACCCGGTGGTTTTATGAGACCCATGTGGGTCTTTCTGGCTTCTTGATTTCTTGGCCTCTTGGGTTCTTGCTGGCTCTCCAACTCAGT